TGGAGAACCCTTATATTAGTATATCAGGCTTATACCATGTAAATAAGTGATTTTCGTGCAAACTGTTCTTTTTAATATTTTCCCATGATATTTTGTAGATGAACATAAATCATCAAGATAAATAATATTCAGGAGTTTCAGGGTGGACTGTCGCTTATTTCTTATCATAGTAAATCAGGGTGGCTTATGGAGAACCCTTATATTAGTATATCAGGCTTATACCATGTAAATAAGTGATTTTCGTGCAAACTGTTCTTTTTAATATTTTCCCATGATATTTTGTAGATGAACATAAATCATCAAGATAAATAATATTCAGGAGTTTCAGGGTGGACTGTCGCTTATTTCTTATCATAGTAAATCAGGGTGGCTTATGGAGAACCCTTATATTAGTATATCAGGCTTATACCATGTAAATAAGTGATTTTCGTGCAAACTGTTCTTTTTAATATTTTCCCATGATATTTTGTAGATGAACATAAATCATCAAGATAAATAATATTCAGGAGTTTCAGGGTGGACTGTCGCTTATTTCTTATCATAGTAAATCAGGGTGGCTTATGGAGAACCCTTATATTAGTATATCAGGCTTATACCATGTAAATAAGTGATTTTCGTGCAAACTGTTCTTTTTAATATTTTCCCATGATATTTTGTAGATGAACATAAATCATCAAGATAAATAATATTCAGGAGTTTCAGGGTGGACTGTCGCTTATTTCTTATCATAGTAAATCAGGGTGGCTTATGGAGAACCCTTATATTAGTATATCAGGCTTATACCATGTAAATAAGTGATTTTCGTGCAAACTGTTCGTTTTAATATTTTCCCATGATATTTTGTAGATGAACATAAATCATCAAGATAAATAATATTCAGGAGTTTCAGGGTGGACGGTCGCTTATTTCTTATCATAGTAAATCAGGGTGGCTTTTTGGAGAACCCTAGCTTATATAGTATATCAGGCTTATACCATGTAAATAAGTGATTTTCGTGCAAACTGTTCGTTTTAATATTTTCCCATGATATTTTGTAGATGAACATAAATCATCAAGATAAATAATATTCAGGAGTTTCAGGGTGGACGGTCGCTTATTTCTTATCATAGTAAATCAGGGTGGCTTTTTGGAGAACCCTTATATTAGTATATCAGGCTTATACCATGTAAATAAGTGATTTTCGTGCAAACTGTTCTTTTTAATATTTTCCCATGATATTTTGTAGATGAACATAAATCATCAAGATAAATAATATTCAGGAGTTTCAGGGTGGACGGTCGCTTATTTCTTATCATAGTAAATCAGGGTGGCTTTTTGGAGAACCCTAGCTTATATAGTATATCAGGCTTATACCATGTAAATAAGTGATTTTCGTGCAAACTGTTCGTTTTAATATTTTCCCATGATATTTTGTAGATGAACATAAATCATCAAGATAAATAATATTCAGGAGTTTCAGGGTGGACGGTCGCTTATTTCTTATCATAGTAAATCAGGGTGGCTTTTTGGAGAACCCTACAATCGCGTGCAAAAATTGTTGAGACAAGCAGTTTATTGGCCCTCTCCCTGCTGTAACAATGCTTCTTGCCCCCCCCCCTTGTGCAATGTTGTTAAAACGATTTTGAGGTCAGGGCTTATCAAATAATATGTTTTCAACATTGTTAAGGGGGGAGGGGGGCACGCACGTGAAAAAGATCACCAAAATGTGAAGAGTCTCATTATTTTTGCACGCGATTGTAGCTTATATAGCATATCAGGCTTATACCATGTAAATAAGTGATTTTCGTGCAAACTGTTCGTTTTAATATTTTTCCATGATATTTTGTAGATGAACATAAATCATCAAGATAAATAATATTCAGGAGTTTCAGGGTGGACGGTTGCTTATTTCTTATCATAGTAAATCAGGGTGGCTTATTGGAGAACCTTTATATTGGTGGTTGTATGCACTAGTGCAAATCAACGAACTAAAATCATTAGTCGAAATCCACCGTTCTCATCATAACATTATTTATATCACAATTTATTGCGTTATTATTCATAGGCCTATTTTGTACGTCTTAATTAAAGTCTTGATTTGTGATTAGGGCTACTTGCTATCAAATTTCAATCACTGCAGTGTTGAGGTATGCGTAACAGTCTTGAACAGTGATGAAGTCCTAAAAATCTCAACAAAGAAGGCTGTGAAGGACTACGAAGGCCTTGTTATGAACTACCAGAATTTTTTTTTATATTAGGGTCTCCCAAAAACGATTTCTTATTTTAAGACAATCACTAGAGCTAGGGCTCATTACTCAGAGTACCCATCCTGGAAAGAAGACAAAAAACATTACATTTCCTTGTTTGTATAGATCATGTAAGTAAGTAAGTGTGTATTTAATGAAGTTACCTTGCAACCATAGAGGCCGAATTACGTAATTATTACAATTAATACTAAGCTAAAACAATTTATGTACATACATGATACCATAATTATGCTGTTTACTTGTAAGATAACACTACTTATATAAAGATTAGTAAACGTATTTTAAATCTTCACTATTCTAAAATTCAATTAAGGAAAGGATGTTAATTATTATTAACCTTCTTACACATTGCATAAATAAAAGAGTCTTCCACCCTATTTGTATGAGTCATAGGAATATTGAACGTTCTTTCCTGTCTTAGATTGTGACTAAATTCATTCCCATCTGGTGCAGTAACAAATTATGAATTCTATTGTCTGAGTCAGACACGGCAGATTGAAATAGCTGAAAGATGGAATAGCAAGTAAATTGTATTGGAATAATTTTCTTCAGGCGTGCATGATAATGGCCATAGCTCTTTTCTCCAACCGTTTAATTTCAAATCATTTTGCAAGGTATAGTCCATGACGATTGCACAAACTTTTTTGACCACTTTGTCTATGTGAGGTTTCCATGTCAGTTTATTGTACGCGTGATGTTTGTCAGATTTCGACTGTCTTAATTTTTCATATATTTTGGGGAATTAAAGAAAATGAGTAAGCTATTTATACTTGTTAATTCGTTGTTTTTTCCTTCTTATTATAAATAACATTTTTCCGTTCCCTGTTCACTTATAGTACACATTATGATACCATAATGTGGTAAGAACATTAGCAGCTCGCGGGCCAATTTTTTGTTCTTACCACTTTATGACGTCATACTATGTATATGTAACTGAACCGGCAATGACAAAATGTTATGTATTTTTTAGATATTAATTCCATTAATTAACGCCAACTATCACTGTTATCGTCATCTAGAATGTTTTCCTCTTCTCCATCGTCATCATCGTCTATGTCTTCTGCATCACATTCATACTCCACTCCCGTTTTTCTGATATGTTCATCAACATACTGACGTACATCCTCACATACCGTAATCGACTCTTGATAAAGGTTGCATGCGACGAATAAGTGGAAACGTTCCCAATCGAGCTGCTTCCTTTGCAAGGAATATAATCCCTTCAGCAAATGAGAAGTAGAAAAGCTCTCATTGTTTTCAAGATTTTCCAAACGACTTTCTAACTCAGTGCAGCTTGTGTGAAAATCGTCTATACAATTGGCCATTTCTTGTTCCAGAATATCCTGCTCCTCTTTGCATCTTTGAACAAGAGAATATGCATCGATAGCGGCTCTCTTTATGGTAAGTGGGATGATGTCTTCGCTTGGAACATCAGCCGTGTAAATGGGACCGCTTACATCACTGGCAACCTCCCAAGTTAGTAGTGCAAACTGCGTGTAACCATGCTGCCGTAAAATGTCAACTGTTATAAACTTTCAACAGTTTTCGGAGATTGGCACTTTCCTTCGTGATACTTTTGGACAAACGCTTAGCTTGTGCCTGACCATCTAAAGAAATAAGTGCAAATCATTGTTACATGTAAATTCCCAAGTCTCTGATGAATCTATTCTCAAATTTGCACGATTTGTTTTGCTCTCAAATGGGACGCATTAATTAAACCGGGCGAATTCGGGAACAGCCATGCATGCAACCATAGTTAATAGAATAGATGTTTGAAAACTCATTAGAATAACACTAAAACTCATTATCTATGTTAGTCAACGTTTATTCATAAATCTGGTCCTTCACCGTCACGTGTGTATTGTATTTTTGCCCAACTAACCAATAGCAATGCTTTGGGAAAGTTACCTATCCGTGACTCGAACAATAGGGGAAATTGCAAATTGCTATTGGTGGATTTGGCAAAAATACAATACACACGTGACGGTGAAGGACCATATTTATGAATAAACGTTGACTAACATAGATAATGAGTTATATTGTTACACTAATGAGTTTCCAAACCATATATTCTATTAACTATGGTTGTATAAAAAAGTTATTAAAGTTAACTATAGTCAGTGGAAACGTCACCCAATAAGAAGCGCGTATTTGACAATAGTGATTAAAAAAGTGATTAAGAGTTTTATACAACCGGCCCCAGAAGTACAGCACTTTGTGTATATAGGCTACCTGCATATTTCTTTTTCAATGATAAAAGAAACCATCTCCTTCTTCCAGAAACTAACATCATGTCACGTGTTTGTTTCGCTTTCACCATTTCTTGTGTCCTCAAACTTGACATGTAACGTGAATCCGTTAATTGGTGTCCACCTTGTTGCGATGTTATTTTCTGCTTCTAACTTAAGCAGACGGTTGTTCAAACTAAATATTCAAAAAAATGCAAATTGAATCCGTGTGCATGTGTTATTTAAGTATTTATGTTATTTGAAAAGTTAGTTTCCTCATTAGTCTACAGTGTACTTTGCACATTTGCATGCGTGGCGATAAAATTATAATTTGTTTTGATTTGTTGAAAACACTTATATAGCTATACTTTAACTAACTATTGCAAAGTTTTATATCCATGCATGCAATGTCCGAATTTTAAGCTCTGCGGATCTTTCATAATATTATTATTACATTACATATTACATATTACAAGTCCGACGCTTGCAATAATAAACATTCCGTTGTGTCTTCCGCAAACCAAAATAAATTAAATGATAAATATAACTTGAAATATACAAGCCAAATTTCAAGAATTGCTGATAAGCGCTTCTTATTTAAAGTCGATTGACGATCGTCTAGTCCTTTTCTCCGTTTTGTATAACTACAGTATAAGCCTTTCGTACAGTATAATAATGTATAATGCTTCGTGTTTACCTGTTCATAACAACAATCAAGTGCGTGTACTGATTGTCATTTGCTCCTTCTGATAGTTGGTTTCTAAAAGAGGGCGATAGATACAGTGCTGTAAGTAACTTCGTTAAAAGTAACTAGTTACAAGTAATCGTTACATTTTTCAGTAACGGTAACGGTAACTTGTTACATTTTGAGAACATGTAACTGTAACGGTAACTAGTTACAAAAAATGCCATAAAATTGAAACGATTACAAGTTATTTTGCCAAGCCCAAAGTTACAAGTTACATTTTGTTCGTTGCTATTTGTGTATACGTTTTTAAAATGAAATAAATCAATACACAGTGAGGCAAGCTCTTAATCATCTGCACAGGAATAATTTAATCTGACACAACAGAATCCGTTTAATTCAAGACACAAATTTAAGTCAAGGATTGACGGCAAATTTACGTACAGTTGGAACTGATCGGAATGCCGTCGCTCGCCTTCACTTGGGCCTTGGCCTCGTCATAATTGGTCTTTGGCCTCATTTCACTTGGCCTTGGCCCAGTCATGATCACGTATTCACGTT